AGTCATTTGCTAGAACTTTGTGAAATAAAAAGCTGCAGACAGACAGCGAGCTGGCTTTCTTGCTGTTGGACTAGTCAGTAACGATTAGCTGCTTGCTATGTCTTGTGTTGTTGCACTTGCTCGATGTTTGGCTGTGTTAGCAAAGTTGTCGACTCGCTAGTTTTTGATAAGGAATAAGCAACATAATTTATAACAAATGCATGTGTACAGCTGTCAATATTTATGAAAGTGGTATTGCCCTTGCGGCACCAAGTCGCAAACAAATACATAGTATTGCTTTAAGGTGGACTGTGCATTGATTTAAAATATAATTTTGGAGCTTGCCAAATTAAGTGTGTGGACAACCTCTCTCTCACAATCTCTTTGTCCTACACCCAGCCGGAGTTGGATGTGCACAAAACCCACCATATTAGCCTCGAAAATATTAATGCTGTGAGATCCTTCTCATACTAAATGCAGGACCACATGTGATAAGGATGATTTGAGATTTTAGTTTTGGTACAGTTAGAGCAGCCTGGGCCAGCAAAAAATCTATAAAACCTTTGAATAAAAGCTGTACAGCTGTTGATTCATGACTAGCCTATAAACCAATTAATAATTAGTCTTCATTACTTTAAAATATGTTAATCGCTTAACATTCCCTTTCCCCTCTTTTTTCATCATTTTTTTTGTTAAAATCATCGCATCTCACTATCTGACTGTACCACACATACTTTGTATCAGCATGTTTCAACTCTATGTTCAAGCCATATGACGTTTACACTGATATATTCAAACCCAAGACTGTTTTGGGGGGTGCACCATTGCGTCATAAGCATCAAATGGAAATATTCTAGAAGCTTTCATCATTTTATACACATTTCCCCAAAATGTTGCCATATTTGGTATCCTTGGACACTTTGGGAACTCCACTAGATTTGAAAATAAAATTTGGTGCATTTGAACAATATTTGGGTCCACAGCATTAGTGTCTAAGTGGCCTACCACTGAGTCACTGTTCTTTTAGTTCTACATAGCTTAATTTGCCAGGCAAATATGGAAAACGTTTGCTGGTTTAAGCCTCTCAAATGTGAGAATTTGCTGCTTTTCAATTTAAGGCCGTAGACTGTATGTCAGATAAAACAAGAATCTTGAAAGCTTTTACTCTCAGAATGTCTGATATTTTCCACTATTTTTTGATATTCTATAGCTTAAATGATCAATAAATTCATTAGCTGATTCCCTGTTATACAGTATGTTTATTAATTTCCTTCTTTTAAGAACTCTTATGCAGTTTTTAAAGTCACAAACATTTTTCTCTTTCGCCTAATCTCTCACACTCATTGTGTTTGTAAAGCTATTGGAGTCATGACTCTCCTGTCGTCCTCTGAGACCCTGAGACAGTGTGATAGCCCAACCCAGAAGATGTGTCCACTTTCATCCAGCCTCTCTCCTCCTCACCCGCGCCCTTCCTTTCTTTCCGTCGAGACCGCAGCGTGCCAGAGGTCCTTGGCAGCGTTTGTCTGCCCTGCTGGTGAACCTTTTTAGCTGGCACAACTCAAGCCTCAGTCCATCTGAGGCCCGTGCCACTTAGTGTTAGGAGATGAGTTGGACAGAGAACCGTAGGCTGGGGAAAAGGGATGAGGTCTGACGCTTGGACAAGATGCGTGTTAAGTAAAGGATGGCACGGAGGAGGTTAGCAAGAGACAGATGGGGGCGAGAGGGGGCCGTCAGGAGGGAAATTTGGTAGCAGGAACAAGGATGTCAACACTGAGGCAAGCTCGAACATGAGACACAAAGGTAACCCGGGAAATTAGGATTTGATGAGCTGCGAGCAAAAGAGTCAAGGAAAGTGATGCCGTGACAAGATTATCTGAGGGGTGAGGAAAGAAGAGGGAGGCCACAATCTGCCTCTTCTTTTCCAATTTTGCACTTACCAACTTTTTTGAGGCAGGAAGTAGTTGAGTAAAATGGGAAAAAAAGAAAGAAAAAGGTGGTGTTACTGAAAAAAGAAATCCATAGGCTTTATGACATTGTGTTCTGCAGTATGGAACAGAAAACAGGGAAATAAAGAAGCTAGTCAAGAGTGGGATCGAAACCAGTGAGAAGAATGGCCTAAAAGTAGGCCGATCAATTCTTACTATCAGAAAATGAATTGAGGATAGAGATTTGGCAGAGAGTTGGAGAAAGTTGCAAAGAATAAGTGAATGAGATCAGAAATGTATGAGGGAGCTAAAGCTGATACAAACAGAAAGGTGTATGCGGTGTGTGTCGAGGGTTCAGCCAGGATGCCAAAAAGACTTTACTTTCTTTCCTATACTTTTTTTTCAAAGTCCCCGATTCCTCAGTAATGCCTTGGTAACCTCCAGTCAATTTATATGTAAATTCACCTGGAAGAGTCGATTAATAGATTAATAATCAGTAACTCACTTAGGCGAGAAAACCAATTTGAGGTTATGGTCAAGATTTGGTACTTGTTAGAGAACAACTCTGATTCATGTTGTAACTCAATTCTCTTCACCCCTAGAGTTACAAGCAACACTGTTGAGCCTTTGAGGCGCTACAAACAGATACTGGAGCTTGTTTTGATAAAACACAGAGAAAGCCAGGGCATGCAGCTATTTTCTATTATTTCCACATAAGGGTGGATCTTGGGAAAATAAGCCCCTGAGCACAGGCAGG